GGCCATTTTTTGGTTGCAGCCATCATTGTTGTTTGGCAGGCCCAGGCTGGGGATTCGAACCCGCCACCTTAGGTGTATGTGGCTGGTGCCTTAGCCACTTGAGCCACAGGCGCCGAGCCTATATAAGAGTTCTTAACGCCTTCCTTGTGCATATCTGTGCTCTTATTACGAAGCTGTTGACTTTTAGAGCCTTTTAGAGGTTGGCTAGACTTACTGTATAGTTTTACCCAAACTTTTAAATTTCTACAAAATCAAGCTTATATAGAGATTCTGCCCTAATCTGATATAGAGCTTGGGCATTCAATGGCATTTTGCAAATAGATAGGTCAATAATTTATATTGCTTAATGGAGAGTCAAAGGATGAAAAGTTACTCTAAATTTCCTTGTGACTTGGTGTGGAACATGCTAGTGTGGAGTTGTCATGTAATGATAACCTTTATGAATTTATTATTTTTTATTTTCCTGTGACATTTAGGTAGTTGGTAGATCCCACAATTTAACTTGATTCCTAGATGGAAGCTGCATTCATCTGATACTGAGAGGTAAGTTTAAGAAAAATCTTCATTTTTTTGTCATTTGAATTTCTAATCACTAAGCAAGATTTAGAGCTCAGTGTTATTGGTAGTTGAAAAAAACCCAGTTCCAATCTGTTTTCCTATTTAGGGGTGATAAGCCAGTGGTGGTTTGCCCTTTACCGGTTATTTATAGTTTGCCATGATGAAAAGCATGTTAAGTCCGTGTTTCAGCTGATTAGCCTGATTAAACACATGCTCTGAGCAGACTAAAGCTAGGGGGGCAAACACCTGGAATTGAATTCTGAGGGTGTTTTTTTTTTTTTTTGAGACAGAGTCTCAAGCTGTTGCCTTGGGTAGAGTGCCATGGCATCACAGCTCACAGCAACCTCAAACTCTTGAGCTTAAGTGATTCTCTTGCCTTAGTTTCCCAAGTAGCTGGGACTATAGGTGCCTGCCACAATGCCCAGCTATTTTTTTGCTTGTTTTTGTTGCAGTTGTCATATGCTATTTAGCAGGCCCAAATCTGGTTCAAATCTGCCAGCCCCAGTGTATGTGCCTGGGGCCCTAACCACTGACCTCTGGGTGCTGAGCCTGGAATTGAATTCTGCTTGTTGGAATTCTTAGTGAGATTTAGCTCATGATCCCAGGTAATTCTTAAATGTTTTAAATTTTGAATTTGATATGAACAACACTTTGTTCTCCTTTGATCTTTTGTGAAATCTCCATGTTACAAAAAAATCACTGTAATGAGATAGGACTAGGTTCACGTACAGGAATCCTAATTTAAAAATTTAGTTTTTTTTTTGTTTTAAAGACAGGGTCTTTTACCCTATCATGCAATTCATGCTCTGTCACCTGGGCTGAAATGCAGTGGTGTAGTAACTGCTTGCTATAGCCTCAAGTGATCCTCCTGCCTTAGCCTCCCTAACAGCTGGGACTACAGGCACATGCCACCATAGCTGGCTAATTTTTTTATAGAGACAGGGTCTCACTATGTTGTCCAGGTTGGTCTCCAACTCCTAGCCTTAGGTGATTCTCCAGCCTTGCTTCTCAAAGCACTAGGATTACAGGCATGAGACACCATTCCCAACTTAAAAATTTAAACACTGTAGAAAATGCAGTAGTAACTACTATAATTCTCTCAGCTACTTAGCTTGATAGTTCTGAATTAATCACTGTTAGTCTATATGTGTAAAGATTAAGGGAATCCCAGAGTTGGTTAAGTCAATTTTGTGAGACCATAAAATGCATGCTATACGGTCATTTAAAGTTATGATATGGGGCTTGGTGGGGTGGCTCACACCTATAATATTGAGAAATCATCAAATGCTCGGGGTTATTGTCTCTAGCATTGGAGTGTATGAGTAATCTTGATGTTTTTGTTGACCCATATTTTCTAACTTTTATTCATGTATTATATTATTTTAAAAGTTATATTAAGGAGCTCAGGACAGGCTTATATTCTTTTGTTTTTTTTTGAGACAATCTCATTCTGTCGCCCTAGGATCGAGTGCTGTGGCTTCAGCTTAGTCACAGCAACCTAAAATTCCTGGCTTAAGCACCTTCTGCCTCAGCCTCCCAAATAGCTGGGACTGCAGGTGCTGGTCCCAACACCCAGCGAGTTTTATTCTATTTTTAATAGAGGCTGAGTCTTAGTCTTGTTTAGACTGTTCTCAAACTTTTGTGCTCAGGGTATCCTCCAGCTTTCCAGGTGCAAAGATTGCAGGCATGAGCCATTGTACCTGGTCTGTATTCTTTATTTGCACCTGTATTTTCAGCAGAGAATTAGATAGGTGGGGGGTGGGGGGCGGAAATAAAAGAAATACAAATAATTCAAAGTAATATAGTACTTGAAATAATATTTTAATTTTTGCTGTCTTTTGTAGAAGTAAAGTTTCAAGGGACCAAAACCAGATCTGAATCTCACTTTTCTAGTATGGACCTCTTCAGTGCTCTTATGTCCTGGATGTACAATAGATGATGACTGCGTTTTTCTTTTACGGTAAGGCTTGACATTGAGAAGCTTCGATATGCATATGAATTTTTGTAAATTTAGCTTTATGAGTTCATAGCCAGCTGCCACAGTGCTATAAAATTTGTTTTTTAAAAAGTCAATTAAAGATGTTGAGAGATACCATAGTATAATAGTTATATGTGTGTTCTGGAATCAGATTGGGTTCAAATCTATGTTCTATCACTTAACCAGTTATATGATTTTGGCAAGTTTCTTAACATCTTAGCCTTTTTTTTCCCCAACAGAGTCTTACTCTGTTGCCCATGCTAGAGTGCCATAGTTCACAATATCCTCAAACTCATGGCTCAAGCAATCTCCTGCCTTAGCCTCCTGAGTGGCTGGGATTACAGGTGCCCTTACAACACCTGGTTAATTTTTTCTATTTTTAGTAGAGACTGGGTCTTACTCTTGTTCAGGCTGGTCTCAAACTCCTGACCTTGAGTGACCCTCCTACCTTGGCCTCCCAGAGTGCTACGATTATAGGCATGAGTCACTGTACCCAACCATCTTAGTTTCTTTATATGTTAGAAAATGATAATGGTACCTGACTCAAAGAATAGTTATTTTGCTATATATATATATTTTTTTAATACTATCTGGCAATTTCATACACATGAATAATAATTTGTTATTTTTGGTTTTGGCACCTACTTATTTGTCATATAATTCTTCATTTGTCAAGTTTGACACAATTGATCCTTAATGGTCTTTTCTCATTCTTATTTAGATGTAAGATTTTTGTAAGTGTCTCTTGATGTCTTTATTTATTTTGAGACAGAGTCTCACTATGTCGCCCTCCATAGAGTGCTGTGGTGTCACAGCCCACAGCAACCTCAAACTCTTGGGCCTAGGCACTTCTCTTGCCTCAACCTCCCAAGTAGCTAGGACTATAGGTGCCCACCACAATGCCTGGCTATTTTTTTTGTTGTTGCAGTTGTCATTGTTGTTTAGCTGGCCTAGGCGAGGTTTGAACTTGGCAGCCTTGGGTGTATGTGGCCAGCGCCATAAGCACTGTGCTATGGGCACCGAGCTGATGTCTTTACTTTTTAGAAATGTTTCTTAAAATAATGTGGTTGGAGGTAAACTTTGATGGCTGTTCCTCTCACTGCTTGGAGCCTTAGGCAGTGGGATTTTGATCCATCATATATCAAAGCTGGCTTGTCTTCACTCAGAGCACCATAAGGATGGGTTGGCTATCCACTAGTGCCTCTGATTTTTGCGGAGTCAAACAATTACAAAGGATATGGTGATTCTAGATGAAGAAAATGTACCTGTGACTAAAAGAAAAGAGAGCTCTTTCATTGCAATAGTATTTGGATAGTTCTAGTCTAGAGCTGTAGTAATTGATTCTGGGAGATAACTGAAACACTGTACTCTAAAGTCATTTATGTTTAAATTTTAAATGGTTTACTTTGTTTTTTAGAGTGGTTGTTTACACATATTTCAGGGAAGTTTGATAAATATTTTTTTCTTTGCAGCATGAAGGTAGATGATTCATCAAATTAAAGATGGAAACTGGTTGGGCACCTGTAGCTCAAGCGGCTAAGGCACCAGCCACA